CCTATACTGACTTTTACCTATCATAACACCTGATACCACATTACTTTCTGGCGCTCTTACCTGTAACGTGCTTTTGATCCAAAGGTGTTAATAGGACAATACGACAGTACTCCTGCAAAATCTCATGCTCACGGTGGAGCAGTTACACAACAGCAAAACCAACTGAACTTAATCCACATGTTTTTCAATATTCCATGGACACAGACCATACTATTTCGAAAATTCACAGCAACCATTTCAGAGCCCATAGAACCCAACCATGCCCAAGCATTTCCATGCTTTAAAGAATGAAGATTTGTCACAATTATTTTTACAGAATTAGTCCTAGTTTTAGTCATTAAAAGCAACCATTTCTTTCTACCAATATACACTTACAGTCAACAGTGATCAGCTTGCTGTTATTTAGTACACCAGCAAGTCTAATAAGATAGTCTTGTCATTTCATAGATGACTTGGAAATCAGTGTCATAAATTAGACAAACGTGGACATGTTTATTCATATTTACCTTATAAATGAAGAAGGACAATCACTGGAACGTTTTGCTTTGCTATATTTGTTTATAAAAACTTAAGTGAGAATACTGCACCTATGGTATTACAAACAAGCTAATGAATAAATTATTTGTGTCCAAAAATGTCAGTCAGAAGCTTCTTTTTTTTTAAGAAGTACAATAAACATTTTAATGAGTGCTGACATAAGAACAACTGAGTTGAGTCACTTGTGGTCTATAGTCACATCACAATTACTAGATTCCAGATTCTACAAGCTGTGGCATTTACCATCACAACCTTTGATGAATGCACAGAATCTTTGAGCCAAAAAATGACCCCATGGAACTGTTCTGTTTCTTTCAAACATCTTACCAGCATTCAAGTGGAAGCAAACTCCAGTCATTCAATGTGCATTTTATGAACAGTGACAGTGCTGGCTTTTTTTTGCCAGCCAATTAATTGTTTAGCTGCTGCCAGAAACACACATTTAAACTCCCATTCCCTTCTGCCTAATCTGCACCCACCACGTCTCCAAGGGATGCAGTAAACTTCAAACAGGCCTCATTTCAGCTCTTACTTCTCCTCAAGCAATCTTAATTGTAATTAATTTTCAACTTACATTTGCTTTTACTTCACTGTCATATATGAGACTTTCCCAAAGGCCATGGAATTCAGCTGGAAAAGCAATATTAAATACCTGTTCAGGATAAATCAGTCTGGAAACTTGTAGCCTACCACTGGAACATAAAGCAGTTTTCAAATTATTCTCAACTAAAACTAGATAAATGAGAGCAATTAAAATATCTGTAAAAAAAATCTCATGAGTTATTTTTCTCAAAATTCAAACACTACTTCCTAACAGACAAATTCAGCAGTTTCTCAAACTGCTCAAATTTGTCAAATTATTGTGTTGAGAAATTAATGGTTTCTTAACATGAAAGGAAAAATACAGAGAGCTATGAGAAGTTGGGGTGGGAGGAGCATTCTAAGGCAATTTTTATTATTCAGGTTTGCCTTTTTTTTTTTTGGATTAACATCAAGATGTAGAGAACCAAAAAAAGCATATGGCTGAATAATGCACAAAAAACTGAAGTTGTCATTTGAGTATCAGTCATTCCTAGCAGTTAGTTTCTAACTTTCAGCAAAGAAAAGCAAAATAGATGGAACAACTATAAACCACAATAACGTAAGAATAGTGTCAGTGTATCAGATTGACTTCTTTCTGAAAATAAATCTAATGGATAGTTAGGCATTTTGAAACATGGAGAGAGTAGGAAACACTTCAGAATAACTGTCTCTTTGAGCTTAAGCTCACACCTGTGCTTCTCCCTCCAGGTATAGAATCCAACTTCCCCAAGCTCAAGATAGTAACAGGCAAGTCGTGCTCTACTGCCTTATTTTTCTCTTCAGAAAACATTCTGAGGACTCTGGATCTCTTTGTTTGTCTGTTTCAGATATAAAAGCGACACTGCCTTGGGGGCTGGACACCAGAAGTGAGCTCTGGAAAATGACTATTTAAAGTGATGAGTTTCTTGTGGGTCTCCAAGTTACAACTTGGAATGCAGCTTGTAGGATTAAAAACTTGAATGCTTCTGATTATGACTATACATTTTAGACCACAACACCAGTTATTTCCAGGCATCCATGAGTATTACAGAAATAAATGATGTGTTTTGGAACGCCTGTAGCAGTTCGGTCAAAACCATAAAGAAAAAAGTCCAAATATATTGGTTCCACAGACAAAGGACAAAGTTAAAAAACACATACAGATAATACCTTTAACAGGTAACCCTTAAACACTTCCAGCCTTTCCAAAGTTTTCTTTCATCATAACTGCTCTAGACCTTTCTGAAATATCACACAGGTACCTGCTGGGAGTACCCAGTGGTGAGCTGCTGTGATATCCTCATTCTCTTCTTCCAGGTTCTCAGAGGTTGGTCCTTCTTCATTCAGATGAAAAATATGCAGAGAAAGACTGCTCTTGCTCAAGTCAATAGGCTAGAATGAACATGAAAAGACTTCTAATGCATCATATTTCCTATTCAAAGCTAATTATAACAAAAGAAAGATACAGTTCTAAGATGGCATTCATCTCTGAAGCCTACTGTTTCTGTTTCAGACCTTACTAAGCAGTGTAGGCCCAAAAACTTAGCTACGTTTTCCTGGTTATGTTAGTCAGATTAATAAGATGTCATCTTATAGATCCTGTCTTGCTTATGTCCTCAGGCCACCACCAGTCTACCTACAACTAATTCAGAGGCATATGAACAGACCTGTCCATTCTTGACTGCAAATACCTGTCTGTCTTTCAGCTTCAGCTCCGTATCCACAATCGACACAGACTGCACATTGTTCTTAAGGAAACTGTCATCAAACTCGGTCCACTTGTAATCACCGAACACAATGGTATGTCTGTTCAACAGCTTTAGGACACTCATCCTAATATCTTCTTCCTTGGCCACACTAACGAGAAAGGAACACCATTACTTCATGGCATTGATGTTTATAAGGAAGTATGAATTCATGTCAGAGTGTATTATTTCATACACTTAAGCCTTCATGGAAAACAGATTCCATCTCACACGCACAAAATCAACAAAACAACAACAACAAAACAAACCAACAAAAACCCCACTTAACTCCCCCATGACATTCTGCAGGAAAAAAACCCCACTATCAAATTCAGTCTGTTTTCAAAAGCAACAAACTTGATACTTGTTTTTAATTTGTGCATTAAAAGACACAATCCAAAGAATACTATTTGCTCTGTTTGAGGTCATATCAGGGGACACAGAATGACACAGCTAGAAGATTTCAAGAATGAAAATCAGTTATGCAATCTGATTGTGTTTCAGCAGGAAAAACAGAAAAACTCACAGCCAAGCTACTAGACTGAATTTGGTAAGATTAGCTTGGAACCTCCATTATACTTTCAAGTCTGAGGACAGCTGACACCTCAGGATGGGGACATACTATAAGGAGAATTCCAGTAAAAGGAAAAAAGCTACAGGAAAAGGAACACCATTTGAAGATTTCTGAAAGGCTTTAACTTAAGTCTTGCAATTTCAGTGATGTATAACCAGTGCGAACTTCAAGCTCCTTGTTTTTTAAGCCTGACAAAAAGAGAGCAGTGGATATTTTACAACTTGATTTTTGCAGCATCTTGGACACGCTCTCCCATTGCATAGCCAGGTTGGTAAGATAAGGACTGGATAAATGGACAGTGAGGTGGTTGGACTGTCCAGCTCAGAGGGTTATGATTATTAACACAAAGACTGCTGCCAATAACTCAGACTGGAAAAGGTGGGGGGATACTGCTAACACTGCTTTTACACCCTCAGTTACACCTTTGACAATGGAATGGAAAGCAATTGCAGCAAGTTTATGGATAACACCAAAGCAGGATACTGTCAGTACTCTAGAGAGCAGGGCTGCCGTTCAGAGGGACATCTGTAGGTTGGAGATATAGTCTGACAGGAACCTCTTGAGGTTCAACAAAAGTAAACATAAAATCCTATCTCTCCATTCACTGCTCAGATAATAGAACAGAGCAGAGGTCAACCTGATGAAGAGCAGTTTTGCAGAAAAGGGCCTGGGGTACTAGTGGACAAAACAGCAGTGAGACAGCAGTGTGTCCCTGCTAGAAATAAGGACAACCTTATTTTAGGCTGTGCCACCAAAAGTGTCAACATTAGGGAAAGCGATTCTTTCCATTCACTGCCTCTATGGGACCACACCTGGACTACTGTGTGCAGTTTCAAGCTCTGCTATAAGAGAGGCAAGGATAAACCAGAGCAAGTCCTGAATGTGGCCACCAACTTGATTATCAGATGAAATTGAGAGAAATGGATTTGTTCCATCTTAGGAAGAGACGCACGGAAGCTCATGGGAGAGCACAGAGAAGGCAGAGCAGAATCCTGCGGGCTCCTGAGGATGCACAGCAGGAGGCCAAAAGGAAACAGGCACAAGTTACAGAAAGTTACAGGGCGATCATAGAGACCTGCTCGATTTCTGATGAACTTCCACATGGATCTGAACGTTCTCACACACGTTTGGGAGCGCTTGCTTCAGCTCTCCTGCGGCATCATCCATCCTTCTCGCTCCTAGGGGAAAAGCGATACCGAGGAGAAGCAAACCCCAAGGAGTGCTGCACGCCCAAGGGCACAGCCAGCCCGTTCCCGGCGCCCCGGCCGCGTGCACCTCGCCCACCGCAAGGATCGGGATCGGCACTTCCCTCCCTCAGGAGATGGCGACGTCGGCCCTCGGGACAGCCCGTGAGCTCGGCCGGGCCGCTCCTGCCTCAACGCTGGACACCGGGAATCCCCGCACGGCAGGCACGGCCTCGGGAGCGGCGCGCCAGCGCAGCGGGAAGGATGCCGGGAGCGCGGGAGGGAGCCGGGGCAGCGCACCGCGGCCGCACAGCGTTCGTAAAGGGCGCGCCGGGCGGGGAGGGCGGGCCGGTCGGTCCCTCACCCGGATCTTCCTCCGCCCGCCGTGGGAGGGCCCGCCCGTCCCGGCGCTTCCGGCGGCACTGGTGCGGGCTCGGGCTGTGGCTGCGGCTCTGCCATGGGGAAGAAGCACAAGAAGCACAAAGCGGAGAAGGCAGAATGGCGCTCGACCTCCGCCACCGCCTACAGCGGTAAGCGCTGGAGGGGGGGTCCCTCTTTGTGCCCGGGACGCTCCCTCCGGCCCGGCTGTCGGCGGGGCGCGGCACCGCTGCGGGGCTGGGGGGCCCGCAGGGACAGGCCCTGGCTTTAAGTGCCGGGGCTGCCGGCGGCGGGGGCGGCCTGGGGGGCGAGGGGTGGGTTGTGAGCCCGGGCGGTTTCTGCGGCTCTTCCTGATGGGATCCGGCGTCTGCGGTGCTCGAGTGATGCTTAATTTCACCTTGCTCTGGCAAGGATCTTGCGGCGTTTTTCAGGGGAAGCCGAGGAGTCGGTTTATTCCGTGTTCAAGGTTGGTGGAAAATCACAGCGTAACATGTGCTGAACGACTGTCTCGTTAGTTTGGATTTATGACTCTTAGGTGGTGTTTTCTTTCCAAATGTATTGCGTATATTTTTGATCTGCAGCAAATTCTTACAAACAGTATTTCTAGAAGAAGCTTCAGGGCTGAGGGTCTCTAGCCTGAAGAAAGGAGGCTCCGGCATGACCTTATAACTCTGTAGAAACAGCTGAAAGGAGGTCGTAGCCATGTGGGAATTGGGCTCTTCTCCTACGGAACTAGTGTTAGAGTAAGAGGACATAGCCTCAAGCTGCAGTGGGGGAGGTTCAGGTTGGAATTAGGAAGAATCTCTTTGGAGGAAAGGTGATTGTATATTGGAATGGGCTGCCTAGGGATATGGTGGAGTTGTCGTCCTTGGAGGTGTTTAAGGAAAAACTGGATGTGGCACTTAGTGTCATGATCTAGTTGACATCATGGTATTCAGTGATAGGTTGGACCTAATGACTTCAGAGGTATTTTCCAACCTAATTGGTTATGTGATTCTGTAATTGCTGTGTGCTGTCATCTCCCTGTGCATTTATGAAATGTTGGTTTTGGCGTTTGTTTTTTTTTTTATTATTATTATTTAGATTATGTGGATAAACCTTTGGAAAAACCCTTAAAGCTGGTGCTTAAAGTTGGAGGAAGTGAAGTGACCGAACTCTCTGGGTCAGGGCATGATTCTAGTTACTACGATGACAGATCAGATCATGAGCGAGAACGACATAAAGAAAAGAAGAAAAAAAAGAAAAAAAAGTCTGAGAAAGAAAAAGAAAAGCATCTAGATGATGAAGAAAGAAGAAAGAGAAAGGTAAGCTGTGAGTTTTAGAATTCAGGCATATCAGCCACCAAGCTTGCTTATCAGATCTAAAATCTGGTGCAGAGTACCAGAGATTTTGTTTGTTTAAATCACTATTCCAAGGAGCCTGCTGTCTGCACTCAGCACTTTATAAATTTAGAAAACCTTTGCATATGTATTAGTATATTTCTGCTATTTAAAGGAGATATGTACTTGTGAGTCTGTGAACAAAGTAAAAGCTTCCTTCTTGTAACTGCTTATTTTTCTTATTTATCTGCTTTGAATGAATACTTCCATTTTTAAGTTGGATGTTTTGTATTTCACCTGGGTCACAATCATGTTTTGCAACCCTTTCAGGGGTATTTTCAGCTTTTCAAATAAATCTTAGTTGCATTTCTCTTCCTGAGATATGCGTGAAGTTACTGGACATTGAAATTGGTATGTTTACTCCAAACAGCTTTCTGAGCTCTGATCTGTTGAGTACTGTGGTACAATAGTTAGGCTGGCTCTTAGAATAGCCTTCATGCAAGGCTTTGTGGCTTTGTTAGTAGCAAATGGTGTGGTCACCTTAGTTGTCTATGTTGAACCTTGAGGAGTTAGATTAAAATCAGCAAGAAGGCACTGACAGTGCAGTGACTTGTACGATTTAATTTTAATAGCATTTCTTTTGTGTACTAATGATTCTTTGACCTCTGTGCTTTTTTAGTTCTTTTTTGTTACGTAGTTTTGCTCATATCGTCATTTTTTCGGTGCTACTTTGTATGGGTTTGTGGCTAACATCTGTCATTTGTTAGACTCAATTACTTGAAAATGACATATCTCATAGGATCGTTCAGAAGCTCTTGAATACAGCATAGACAGTGCAAAATTTTCTTAGTACAAATGTTTCACTTAGGAGTATTGCTGGGACTCGAAATGTAGCAAAACAACTGTCCTTCATATAAGATATTGCACCATCAGTTGCCTTTACTAAGTTACAGTGTGGGGGTTGTTTGGATTTTTTTCCCAGAACTTCATTATTGGTGCATTTAAAATCAGCTAACAGATAGCTAAGAAGCAAAACTGCAGACTAAAGAAGGCTAATGAAAATATGCTATTCTGTGAAAACATGGATAATGACTGCAAGATTACAGGAATGGCTTAGGCTTGCTTTTGCTGTGGAGCTCAAGAAGAGGTCATTAATTACCACCGCTGTTACAGTGGTGGTAACACTTCTTATGGTTCTTTTATAGGCTTTCTGAATTATCACCTACTTTACTCATTCCCATTCAATGTACCAAACAAAAGCACACTGATCAAAGCAGAGCTACAGGCTGATCTTTACGGAATAGTAAATTAACTTCCTTTGTTATAGTGCAGTTTTACATATAAACAGCTTGAGTTCAACATTATTCCAGTAAAAGTACAGCAATGATAGTACAATATTATGTTAAATACAAGGTAGCAAAAGATGAACAGTTTCGTTTTAATTGGAGAAGAAAATTGAGAAAGTGATAGTGAAAATGTATGCAGTGTTGTTTAAACCATATTATGACTCAGATATAGAATGATTATTCCAAATGAAAGAAATCACTGTCTCTTTCCTTTTGGTGTGTGGGATTGCACATTCCAAGTACGTTCTTCTAAAAGATGCCTTCTTCCTGCTGTGCTAGGAAGAGAAAAAGAGGAAAAGAGAGAAAGAACAGTGTGACACTGAAGGAGAAACTGATGACTTTGATCCTGGGAAAAAAGTAGAGGTTGAACCTCCTCCAGATCGTCCTGTCAGAGCATGCAGAACTCAACCAGGTGAGCAGCATGAGAAATTGAATAGTTTTGGTTGTTTTTAAAAGCATGCACAACGAAGTTTTGTCAAAGGTACCAAAATGTAAAATTTTCATGAAGATTTGCTGAAATCTAGAGACTTTACTTTTTCCAGCATTTAGAACTTTCTGCTGTCTGAAAAGTCAATATTCCTCATGGTGCTTACAGGTTTTAGTAGGTTTTTTTTCAGGTGACTGAAGTTGCCAAGGAAATCTGTCTCTGACTTCTATTACTTGGCAGAATAAAGCTAGCATAAAAGTGTTATTGTGCACAGTGTTCCCCTAATGTCTTCTCCTTAACATTTACCAAACAGTGATCAGAATGTCTGAAATTTAAGTTTTCCTTAGTTCAAGGCAAAGCAAATGTTGTGAATACTGCTTAGTTGTTGTTACAGTCTTTTATAACCTATGTGGACTTTTATTATCTCTGTTTTAATGAACAGGAAGTTGTGATAGAGTGTCTCTAAAGACCATAGACCCCACCCCCACCACCCTATTTTTCATTGACCAATCTTCTTTAATTCTTGTCACCAACCAAAATATTTATGGACTGTCTGTGGCAACTTCTGTGTGTTTATTCATTTCACATTTTATCATGCTTTTTCTACCTATAGCTGTTGCTTGATAGTTAAAACTCAGTGTTATCCAGTGGAAATTTTACTTAAGCGAATTTTCAAATACATAATTTTCTAAGTTATATGCTTAACGTGGAACCTGGTAGCAAAAGCTGTGTCTTTAGGAATATTGTGAGTCTTGTCTTTGGAAGACTACCCTTTGACTGGCCAAGTAATTCACTGGGAAGTTTTCTAATTATGACTGCACATTAAATTGTTGGCCATCAGCTGTCAAGGTAACTGAAATTTTCTGGTCAGAGTTTTATGTCTCAGGGTAGTCAGGAACCTTGGAAAACTGCCAGGCTAAAAACTTTATTATTCTATTTTCATCTGCTTGTAAAATGATATTTGAAAGCATATAAATTACCTTGCCTGTTCCGGTTAAGAAAGGAAATGTCGCTCCACTATCATGGTGAAGAGTTGGAGTTTTAATTCTAGATTTCAGCATGCTGCTTGTTTAGTGTTTCAAACTTCACATTAAAGGCAGTCTCTCTGAACTATGTGTATGGAACAGGTAATTAACAAGTGGTATTAATAGTGTTATTTGTACGTGTACAGGAAGTGAAATTGTAATCAGTACCTCACTTGCCAGCAAATCTGCATCTATTTGTCACTCGGTGATTGAAAGGTTCAGAGAAGCTTATTGCATGGGGTTAATGGTAAAGAAACCATTAAAATTGCACTGATAACATGTTGTAAGAATGTGGATTTCCCAACTGCATGATTTCAGCAACCAAGTTTCACTTTTCTTTTCCTGTAAAAATATATAACATTGTAATCTTATGAAAATATATTCTTAGAGCTACTAGACTTAGCATTACATCTGATTTAATGTCTCTTAGTTTTTAATGTGATGAAAGCTCAGAAAATAGTAAAGGAGAAGAAATAGGTGCTGTATGCTTAGAAATCTGATGTGCTTCTGCTTTGAAATCTGTCTCACTGAGCTTCAGATGTACAAGTAGTTGAGATGTTCTCTCTGGTATTTATGTTTTTAAATAAATATACCTATATTCTGTTTCATTGCACTTATCTGTGTTTTCATCTCAAAATGCAGCTGAAAATGAGAGCACACCAATCCAACAATTACTAGAACACTTCCTTCGCCAGCTTCAAAGGTATAAACCGTGTTGTATGTTCAACTGTGTCGACAGTGTGTAATGCATATTTATATGTGCTACTTTAGAACTTCTTCTCCTGGCTTTCTGTTTGAAAACAGTGCCTGAAGACTGACTGTAGTATATCTGTTAACCTTTGCAATCGTGCCAGACACGGTAGTTTTTAAAGATTAGTTTGGGAAAATTATTACCAACTTTGCCATTCTAGCTTTTAGCAGGGAAGTAAGCGTTTTGGGCCAGTGTAATTGCCATTTTAAATTTATTAAACGTTAATGATTTAATTTAGGGATTAAAACCCAGTTATGATTCTATAATACTTTAAAAGATTAAACTGTTTTAATTATGTTTATTTCTATGTCCTCTGTCAAAGACAAAATAAATTCATACCTGCTTACTTGATAATCCCCTAATTTGCTTAGGGGCTTTTTATTTTACTGTTTTCAATAAGATCTTAAGCCTGTACCTCATGTAAAAAACAAAAAATCCTTTTTATTACATTGCAATAAGCTGAATTTGGAACTAGTTCAAAAATATTAAACATTGTGTTTATTTTTAGAGGGCCTTATGAACAAGAAGAATTGAGGTTTTTTACTCAGTGAAGCCAAAAGACCAATTTGGATTGTAGAGATGTAGAAAACATACAAAAATTAATTAAAAAATACAAGAACTAGCTTGAGTTAATCATTTGATCATTGAATTGAAAGACTTTTTTTAATGTGTTTCAAAAAGTCTACAAAGGTATAATCAAAATGCTCTCCCTTATAAAAAAATTTTTCAAACATGCTTCTGTGTTATGAAAACGGTTTTAGTGTTTTTTTTTCTTTTTTTAGTAGTACTATTACATCATTAATGTGGTTTAAAAACAGGGACTGTTTTGCCTGCTGCTATAAATCTAAATGTCTTGTTTTTATTTTTAGGAAAGATCCTCATGGGTTTTTCGCTTTTCCAGTCACGGATGCCATCGCTCCTGGATATTCCATGATAATAAAACACCCTATGGATTTTGGCACGATGAAGGAAAAAATCGCAGCAAATGAATACAAATCAGTCACTGAATTCAAGGTGAATTAATAAAGATGTAGTATTTCTAAGCTAATAAGAAACTGAAGATTCTTTTTAACTGTAGAAACCTTTCTGACATTAATTAATGTGCATTTTGTTCAGAACTGAGCACTTTTGTGTATTCAGTGTGTTACAAATACTCTGGATTTGTCAGATTCTACTGCAGTCTACTATAAATTACTGTGGATACCAAGAACATGTTCTAAAGTTCTATGGAAAGCATGCTGCTAAACTGAAACAGGAGTGAGACTATCACAAGGACTTAAGTGGTTGAAGAACCTGGAGCTCTCCCTGCCTCTCATTTTAATTTCCTTCTTGGATCCAGACCTGGTTAGATTGATTAAAATGTAATTTTGACTTGTCTGCAAGAAAACTATGAGTATACTGAAACTTCTTGTATAGGAGTCAATAACAACTACGTATTTTTTATCTTTAATTGTCTTATTTTCCATATGGCATCATCTGAAATGGCAGAAAGTTACTTGGCAAATTTATTGGCAACTTGCCTTAGCTAACTTACATATTATTATTGTTGTAATGCTTTATTAGATGCACCATGGTCTTACAGAGAGTGCAGTAGGAAATCTTTTCATGATATCACCAGCTCCTGGAAGGAGTTTTCCTTAACTGATCCATGAAGTTCTAGTAGCTGCCTTCAGAATTACTGTTTCCTAGAGTGGTGTTGATAAAACAATAAACTTGTCAGAGAGCATTGGCTTGCTTCTCAGGGTTAATCTCTTCTCTTGAAAGATCCAGCAAGGTGAGCAAAGAATGGTTGATATTTCTCACAAGTGCTTTGACAAAGATTATTCTGTTTTGTTAGGTATGCTATAGAGGTTTATAGGAAATAGTATAAAAGTATTTATAATAATCTTGCCATCAGCAAAGCCTTCAGGTCTCTAAATTCTGGCTTGCTGGACTGTCTTATTCAACTACTTAAAAAGGGAAGTTTGGCAGCATCTTGAAGAATCAAAAAAGGCTTGTTTGCATTTCTTTGTTACTTTCTGGCTTGCATTTATTCCATGAATTTGCTGCTAAAATATTACTGTGTTCGCCACAGAGCTACCATGGTGGAATGGTATCTTCCAGTTATTTAATAAAGATCTTGGAATTTCTAACAGTTCTTTTGTCTTGTATTTTTACAGGCAGATTTTAAACTGATGTGTGATAATGCAATGACTTACAACAGACCAGATACTGTTTACTACAAGCTAGCCAAGAAGATACTGCACACAGGCTTTAAGATGATGAGCAAAGTAAGAGACCTATTAAAAACAAAAAGCAGAAACTTTGTTGGTTTTTTTTTGTTGCTGTTATCATACCTAAAAGGAACATAATTAGTGACAATGATAAATGTTATTTTATCCTTCGGTGTTTAACCATAGCAGTGCCTGTTAGTGCTGCTATATTTAAGGGCTCAATAGCAGTCTTATTATAACTCAGTAATTTTTATTTATTTCTCAACTATATCTGCACTGCAAAAGTCTGTAGGAGTTTTTTCCCCTGGTCTCAGTGGAAGCAATTAAGATTCACATGTATAAAACCCTACTGTCAAATATTACTTCTGGCTGAAACTTTGAGAACAGGACCTCATTTAAGTTTTACTTCTGCATAAACAGGAAAGCTCTAATTTTTTGAAGATGTTGGGTGTGGGGGAGTTTTCAGGTGTGTTGCAAATCGGCTTTTTACTCAAGTAGAGTTGTTGGCTTTTAAAATGAAGTTTTGGTGAGCTGCTCTGTGTGCACATGGTTTGTGTGTGTGTGTGTGTGTGCGCGTGTGTTACAGTGATGGTAAGTTTTGTGTAAAATAGTTGGTTTTCTATATGCAGTTTGTTTGTTTGTTTGTTTCTCTCTTGATAGTTGGGCTGCAGAAATTCTGATGCCATGCTACCATGACCAAATCATGTTGCATCGCCATTGGAAGGGAGACATTAAGAACAAAATAAGGCCATGGCCATTCCCATCCCATCCCATTATCATAGCATCTTGGCTATGAGGGAAAGGTTAAGTCCCTGCCGCTCTGTCCTTTCTGATTCTAGGAACGGCTGTTAGCTTTGAAGCGCAGCATGTCGTTTATGCAGGACATGGATTTTTCTCAGCAGGCAGCTCTTTTGGGTGATGAAGATACAGCAGTTGAAGAACCTGTCCCTGAAGTTGTTCCTGTACAAGCAGAGACTACCAAGAAATCCAAAAAGCAAAATAAAGAAGTTATTAGGTAAAGGTTTTAATGGGCACGCTTACTGCTTGGTTGCAGCTTTCGTAATGTTAGACAGCAGCAAAGAACTGAGGAAAAAACCCTCTTTTCAGCCTTTTTCCTTTGTTGTATTTTACTTGCTTATTTATTTACAGAAGTCATTATATAACCCAGGAATTCCCAACTTGAAACAAACAATTCAAAAGATGACTGCCTATTCTTTTAAACACTTACAGTTAATGTCTATATAGATATTCTTATCATTCTTTATATTAAGTAATGAGTAGTTTCTTCTCATGATGGTTAGAAATATTACTTTATTTTGAATATAGCCACAAATACCTTTTGCATTTTGTCCCTTTTTTCTCCTTTCCTAAAATGGGTGACTGTATCAAAATGTAACAGGATCTTTCTGGGAGGGCAAAGTGGTCCCAGATCAGTGACTGATTTTATTTAACTTCAACCTTATCTGGCATGATGTGTAGATACAGGAGATTATTTCTGGAGAAGATGATAACATCTCCCCAGTAATGTCTTATTCAATTTTTTTATAAAATAACATTGCTAGGCAATAGTAGTCTTCCAGGTAATAATAGGCACCCACATTCCACAAAGTCATGTTTTTATTGTTAAAATCTAATCTTAGTAAAATTTTTTGAATCTAAATTTAGTCAACTTATTTTATGAGATCTAAGCAGAAACTAATTTACAAGCAACTTTTGTTCAGTGTTCTTGCATAGACATCTGAAGATAGATGTTGAATTTAAATTGTAAAGCATTATATCAGCTGCAATTTTAAGGAAGAAAACCTGTAACAGAGCGTCACTAGTTATGTCTTAAATAATCCGATTGTGTGGATATGTTCTGCAGGCTTCTTTCCTAAACCTTCAAAGTAAAAAAAGTGAAATGTCGTGTCTCTTTTTTTTTTTTTTAAGTGAACTTTAGTGTTCTAATGAGCCAGATCTTTTTTCTTTTACATTTCAAGGATTTTTGTAGTCCTTCTTAATGTCTGATGAAAGAAGTGGTATTTTAATGCAGTTGTTTTGTGGAAATAGAAGACTGCAACATGTATCTTCAAAAAAAATTTTTAAATAGAGTAATTTTTTTAGTGGAAACTATTCTGTTGACAGCATACACAAACATACTTGTTGCTGTGTAATGGAGAACTAACAAAATGTCATTTGTTCCTTCTGTTTTGAATTGTATATAGAAATCGACTGAAAGCACCTTTTTGAGGGGGAGGTAGTTTGGTTCTTGTTTCTTTTTTTTTTTTTTTTTTAGGAAATACACGATTTGTTTTGTATGGTGCCCAGGATTAATTCTTGCATAAACTCCAATACAGGAGTATTTTTGTACTTTGCCAAAGAGCAAGAAAGTGGCACTGCCAATCCATGTAGTACTGCTCTGTCTTTAATATCTACCTTAACATACAATTTGCACAGTTAGAAAGAACCGATCTTTGATGTTGTTTGAGCACCGGTTTCTTTGCAATTGGTCTGTGGTACGAATTTACCTTCCTATTCTTTTTAGTGTTTATGTAACTTTAGTCGTTGGAATTGATTTGTTTTTTCTAGTGAACTTGACCTTTTAAACACTTGTATTTTTGCATCAGTAGGATTGGTATTATTCTTTTTGATGAACAGTAAGAGCTTTGGGGGGGAGAACTGAACCTAATAGTGGATATTTTTGCCTTTGTATTTCACAGTTATAAAAAGGGAAAGAGTAAAGTCAGTACTTGGAAAGTGTTAAAGCAGCTTAGACCTCTATACTGTAGTTTAAAAAGTGCCTTGATCACTTGGACATCCTAATGTTTAAGTAGTTTTTGAAAATTTTGTTCAGGATGTTGCAGCCTTCTGAACATTCTCTCAAAATTCTTGTCCTTCAAGTATTCTGTAGGATGCGATAGAAAGTGCCAATTGTTGAGGAGTTTCCTGCTGTGTACACCGTTTCTGAAGTTTCAATGAAACAAAAATCGTATAACACATTTGTCTCATAATAGTATGATCCTGTGATCTTTTTATTGTCTTTAATAGCAAAACTTACTTGTGTATCGGATCTGAATCTCTATACAGAGAGAAATTCTTAGCTAAGCAAATGGAAGAAGATAACCCAGGAGAGAGAAATGGATTTGGTGTGAGGAGATGCTCTACCCAGTACCTAAGGTGTTTGGCCCTAGTGTCTAATGTCCCTATAATGCCCTGAAATATTTTGATATACCAAGCTTATTTTATCTGTAAAATATAATGAAGACTGCCATATTCTATGATATCTTCACACTTGTCCTTATGATATTACCTTCTTCTGATTTTATGTAATACCTATGTCCTGTTCCATCTTGGCTGTGCCTATCTGTTACAATTTTATTTTTCTGGTGCTTTAATGAAAAGGGATCTACAGAAAGATAATTTTAAATTCAGTAATTTCAATTACAAGAAATGGTGTGATTAATGCTGATTAGGAATGCTACCAATACTAACAAACAGAGGAATTAAAGGACTCCCTGTTAGACTGGGAACTGTGTCCTACTGCAAACAACAATATGATATGCAGCCTGTTGTGTTTTTTCTCTGATTAGTTACATAGTTTCTCTCCCTCATCAAGTAATTTCTGCATCTTTCTGTTTGGAATTTTTGAAAATAGCATATTCATGCATGTGGGAGACGAAGGATGCATACAGCACTCACCCTCTATTAATGCAGTTTTACTCCCAGTCTCCGTTTTGTAATACTTCCTTTATTTTCATCAAGGTACAGAAACTATTACATTTTTGAAGTTCAGTAGCTTGGTAGTTCTCAGCTTCTGCTGCAAAACTTCAGTTTAAATTATGATCATAATTCCACTAAAGTGCTGAAGTAGACTGACCCTGGGAGAGTAGTGGGACTGATTGTTCTGTTAAGAAAACCCAGAATTCATCCCTTTGTTTCCTTTTAGCTTTTAATTTCTACAGCTGTTCCTCTTCTGTTTTGTAGCTGCATTTTTGAACCTGAGGGAAACGCGTGCAGCCTGACGGACAGCACTGCTGAAGAGCATGTCCTGGCGCTAGTGGAACATGCAGCGGATGAAGCTCGGGATAGGATCAATCGATATCTGCCCAACAGCAAGGTCCACTGCACAGTGCAGTTTGCAATTCCATTTTGTGTCTGACTATTGAATGCTTTGATTCATGCTAGGAGACAGGCTTTGGTGTTACGTTTTCTGGGGCTGTAACATTTAGGATGCATGCTCTGTGTGGATTGCCAGTTTGGCTGTTTTGTGTCATTTAGTTCCCACTGAAAGCCATTGCAGGGTGTCCTAAATGGATCTCGGGTTGTATCGTGTGTTGAACATCCTTGGAAATTCACTCACTTGCAGGAAGCAGTGAAATGTTGCTCAGTCTTGAATTGCAGCCATCAGCATGTGATTAAAATAACATCACATTCTTCTTATTGTTGCAACCTCAGAAAAAGCAACCTATGCATAGGTTGAAGTGTTATTAGGATTCCTCCTTCCCTGCCCGCTCCCCATTCCCCCCCAAAGGAATTTAGGAATTTTTAAGTGTTAAATTACTGTTTCTAATGAGAAGTTTTCAATGAGAAGAGTCTGTAACCTCTTGTAATTTTGTACCTACAAGCAGTAGCTGTCAGCTGTAGCGTGAATGCAAAATACAGACATCCTTCAATGACTGGTATAAGAGAGCAAGTTGGATAGTCTTGAATGTGATTCTGATATTGTTCCATGTGTTTGGCTTTTGTACACTTCCAAAGGTTAGAAGGACAATGATGCTGTTGTTGCAGTTTTCTCAGAACAATCTGTTTGTGGGCTGTGGTTTTTTTAAGCAGTGTGATAGTGGTGGTGGATTCCATCATTTCTTCATGCTGGGATTGGAGTGAAGGCTACAGACATTCAGTACAGACCTACACTGAGATACGTTTACTCTGTTTAGGTTGAATCATGTGGAGTCTTATTACTACCCTTGTTCTCGTTTCTCATCTGTCACTTACTCTAGTGGCCACTGCAGTTGAGAAAAGAATCAGGATGTTGCTACATCCTGACTTTTCTACATAATTTTTTAACAACTGTTGCAGAAGAAACTTTGCTTTGAAGCGTTAGTGGTGGTGTGTCCTCAAACTTAAATGTCTATTTCTTGAGCAGTGGCCCTTGTTATGCAGTCACCTTAGGCTCAACTGGATTAGGAAGTGAAGCTTCAAAGAATAGTGGGTGAAGATTTAGCTTCAGTATATTTCTGTTTCTTTAGATAATCAGAAGACTTGCTGGCTGGATTGAAGGCTGTTTGAAACCTCCAAATTAGCAGTGGCTTTTTAAAAATTCTTTAAAGCAATACCAGTCTTCTGCTAATTGCTAGCTCCACTAAAAAGGCTTTTCATGATGATGCAGTCTGTTTTTGAGAAAGTTGGTTGAGATGTGCAGCTCTTCATTGTCTAGGCTGTTAATCAGCGTGTTCTTAGAGCTCAGCCACTGTTAACTTTTGCCATCAACACTTGAAGGTGTTTTTCCTGTTTGTTCTCTCTCCAGCATTTCTTACCTCTGTTTTTATTATATGCCAATATTAGCTTTGGCCTCCTGTATAGAGAGAGTTTTAAAGTTTTTCAGAGGGAGGGGAGAAAAAAACAAAACAGGGGAGACATTTATTTTTCAATTTACTTCAAAGTATTTACTAATATTTCTGTAGGGAGAGAATAGTTTTCATTTTCCCCGTTTACTGAGAGGTTAGTCTTTTTTTTGCCCAATTCATGTGTAATCAGTTTCTGGCATCAGCTTTGCTTGTTGCATCAGATCTGGCTTCTATCTTGACAGAGCCTTGGTGTACTCTTTTGTCTTTCACATATCCGTTTTGAGCATTGTGCTTGTGTGATTCAGTAGGTCTGGCACAGCACTTCTTCCTCTTTAAGAATTTGACAGTGTGTTCATAAAAGTACTTCTAATTAGAAGGGTGAGATATGAAAACAAGCAGTTTATTGTAGATTTGAAAATAAGCAGTGACTTAGACTGTGGCTACGAGTTCCAGTTCTGCTTCTAAAAGAAAGTGTATTCTAGATTTAACAGTCAGAGAAGCTGGCTCCATGCTAATGATAAAGGAATTGGGTTTGTTTGGATGAAAACTTTAGATCTGATATGGAAAGGTGAATAAGGAGTTGCATATATGAACTTTTACTCCTAAGTCTTCTGTTCTGAAGCATTTGCTACATAGTGTTAAATAGTTGTGACCCATGAGTCTCTGTATTAAAAAGTGAATACCAGAGTGCAGGATCCCAATACAGCTAAAAATGATCTTTATACTTTTCTCGTAACTCCTTCTTTGAGTTTGAACAGTTTGGAATGATTGCTTCTATATGTTTGTGGTTCTCTTCACAGATTGGTTATCTGAAAAAAAATGGAGATGGAACTTTATTATTTAGCGTAGTAAATTCATCTGATCCTGAAGCAGAAGGTAAAAGCAGACATTTTTAGTCTTGAATGTTCTAGCAAATTTTAAAGTCATAACTGTACGTACGAATTCAATGTAGTTTTAGATGAGTTTTGAAATTTTTTTAATTTTTTGAACAATTTTTATTATTTTCATTATTTCCCAAACACCACAAAGTTGTTTCTCCTTGCCTTCCACATTTTCACTCTTCAGATGTTCTGTTTTACTATTCTAACAGTAAAAAGATAAAATAATATCTATTTATAAGCACTTAGTTGTTGCTACAACTTTATAAAGACTTGGAATACAAGCTTTTGCTGCAAGTACACTGTAGTGTTAAAACCTATTAGTCTAAAGGTGAATGAAAGTGCTGTAATCCTGTGTAAAACATGCAATGCACAGATGCAAATTCAGAATAATCTTTTACCTTTTTCTATCCTCATTTAAATCATTAGCTTAATTTCTTGATCTTTTCTGTTCGTTTTTTTTTTGTTCTGTTACTAGTCTATGCTATTTATATTGGCTTTTACTTTTCACTGGTTTTAGTTTCAAGCTCAAAATGCAGAAGTTTTGAAAGTCTGTAATGAGTGAAATGTCATAGTCTTTATGCTCCTGTACGTCATGATGATAAATCACTTTCTTCTCTTCACCTTTTGAGATTGGAGTTCATTCACAGCTTATCTGTTGTTTCATTGATGAATATGGGAGTGCTTTGGGAGTGACTTTGGGAGACACGAGCCTTTAACACTGTTATTGTCTCAGTGCTTTTTCATTTGGTAGTAAATTCTTCTGGAATGAAATTGAGCGTTTTGTCTGCTAACATGCCCTTGCCTATTTCTGAAAATAAAAAATTAATAAAATTCATGTGCTTTAATACCTCTGAAATTTATGCCATTGAAAGTTTAGACAGTGATGGTAACAGTGTCTGGATTTCTATAAACAAACTACCACTCAATCAACATAAGAAACTGCATTTATGACTTCATAAAATCTGGGTCTTAAATGGTTGTGAATCAGCTAGTAAAATAATTACACGCTGATGTATACTCTAAAAATGAAATAACTAAGTAAACCACAGATCTTTTCAATTAGACACGGAAACATACTTACAGCATGTGTTTGAAGTTTAAATGGATAACCTGAATTACAGTACCTATGCATAATGTTTAGATTAAAAGACATATAGTCTTCATATTAACTGCAACTTTTTAGAATAGTAAAATCTAAATATTCACCATAAATTGTACACATGAAATGCTTTTCTAAGTCTTCTTTTAAATCAAATTATTAGAGGAAGAGACTCACCCAGTGGATCTGAGTTCGCTGTCAAGCAAATTATTACCTGGCTTCACTACACTGGGCTTTAAAGATGAACGAAGAAATAAAGGTAAATGCCAAAGGACATGTTTTAGCTTTTTGGTTTTTAAATATTTGAGCAATTACTTGATATAAAATAGTTTCAGATTCTACCTGTCTTGATATGAAAGTTCACTTGGTTATTCTTATAGTGTGTAATTATTCGAATCGCTGATAGCAGAATGCGGTTTTAAATTGACTTTTTTGCTTATTAAGCATCACTTAATTAGGAAGCTTATGGATTAATGTTTTGCCTTAATGTTACAGCCACACTAGAAGCTTTCCAATAATGGTAGTGTGTTTTGTTTGTGAGAGATAATTTTTCCAGACTAACTGTGCTTACAGTTGAGGGAAAAAAACTTTTAGTCACTTGCATTTTTGCATTACATGAGAAGGATTTTGCAGACTGTGGACTTTTTTTTTCCTGTTATTGACATTTTTAATAGTTTCTAATCTGGTCTCCAGAAACTGACTGTCAACCAACACTAAAGTAGACACATACAAAAAGTAGAAATATAAAAGGAGGTGTGGCCATGAATCTTTTTATTTCTGGGAATGGGGTGGTTAACTTAGTTCTTGGTTTTCCAGTAGTTTAAATATGTTTGTTTATATGGTTAAAATAGTTGCACTGATTCTAAAGTCCTGAAGTGTCCTGGAGATATTGCTCTTGATTTCAGTTGGAGAAAAAAGACACTGCACTTTCTGTATCCATTTCAGAAGACAATTTTTTTCCCCAAGTGGTGTTTTACACTTGTGTGAATCATTTCTCATCTCTTGTTTTTACCTTAGTAACCTTTCTTACAAGTGCTAATACAGCACCTTCCTTGCAAAACAACTCTATATTTCATGATTTGAAACCGGATGAGATGGAACTCTTGTACTCGGCATATGGTGATGAAACTGGAATACAGTGTGCCTTAAGGTAAGCACTTCCTAATTAGAAAGTCTAACTTCTCTTAGCAATTTTATGCAAAGTGATTTGGACTAAACGCCAACTAAAAGTGTTCAAATCCTGATATTTTATTCTAAAACTTATTTTTAAAATGAATCACTATAAAACTTGAAGCTAGCTTTCATCTGGTTGGTGGGGGTTTTGTGTTGGTTTTTTGTTTGTTTGCTTTTGATTGTAGGTGGGGGGATGTATTTTTTTTCCCATTTACTCTTTTAAATTTTATTGCAAGGCTCTTATTGCTCTTGTTATTAGGGTCTTCAACAGCACTGTATTACAGGTTGCTGAAGTTTTAGTGTTCTGCTTTACACCCAGCAGCAAATTAGTTTAAATAGGCAAGTAATAGTTTTCAGTGGCTTTAAAACAGTGATATTTTTCAAGGAATTTCAACAGAGTTAAAGATACTTGAAAAGGAAAATGCCACTTTTCATTAAATTTATAATCTTGGAGGGAAAGAATTAGTTGCAAGCTTTTTCCTCTTTTTTTGTGTTTTGTTTTTTAACCCACTACCAATGATAGTTCAAGTCAGAATTTGTTGGTAGTTGTGAAAAACAAGCTTACACATACATTTATCTACATAATATTTACATATTATTAACAAAGAGAAAAGTGAAAAAACTGTCTTGAAGGCCTTAATTGCTTTTTTGAAGAAATGTGGAAGAGTTAAGAGCAAAGAAAATATAGTTGTAATGTAGTGTTGTTGGGGAAAACCATATTTGAAGTTGAAGTATTTTTTATGAAAATAAACATTTTCTGTAATGCTTATCTCCATTCCTGCTAGCTTACAAGAATTTGTGAAGGATGCTGGAAGTTACAGCAAGAAAATAGTGGATGATCTTCTGGACCAGATCACTGGTGGCGATCATTCCAAAACTATTTATCAGCTAAAGCAGGTGTGTCCTTGATGCACAGAAGTGTCACAAGTTCCTCAGAACAAGAACGAACCTGTTTGTTTTTCAGTGTTGCGTGAGATGCTTTGCTTTCCACTGTAAGTTTAAGCAGGTCAAGCTTAGCTGTTCAAGCAGCTGTGTTGTGAACCAAATTACAGACTGAATTAATCAACAGAGGAGTAATTTTTTTTCTTTTCTCGGGCTCGATCAGTTCTCCAGTGTGGTTCACTGTGTGGCTGCAGAAAGGAAGAGGCAGGGGGATGCAACACAGCAGGGCCCAACCAAGTGAATAGTGTTTGGGCAGCCTTGTCACTCAATGGGATGACTTACATATCTACTTCTGAGCTATATTGCAATGCTTTTATTGAGGTTTTTGGTTTTTTCTTAATTGAAATGCAAAATATACTTCTTGTGGAAGGATTAATTATTTGGAACGTGGAAGTAATGCTGAAGAACAGATTAATATCACTGTACAGGTATCTGTTACCCAACTGTGCTAACTTTTAAATTCATGTAGTATGTCTGAAGGAAAAACTTAACTTCTTTGCAAAAACACTTTCCTAATGGGATTCATACTAAGATTGGAGAAGAGATTTTTCTCAGAAATATGTATGATTCTAGTGGGAATGTTTGCATTCCCAAGACCAGATAGACTAATAGAAACTGCAAGATTTTGTTTCACGTTATTTTCACTCTGAAAACCACTCTTAGTTTGAAATAATTGTCTGCTATTTAAAATGCTGACATTGTGAATGATTGAAGAATAAAAAAAAGAGAGGCAGGATGGGAAGATGGAAGGTACTTAGGCTTCCTGACGTGGTGGAAATGAGATTATGCTAAATCTCTGCACCCTTAGAAATAGAGTAAGGGGTGTGGTGTTTAAGGAAAAGGAGGCAATAGAATGAAAACCTCAAAGTGATCCTTCAGAATTTTCTGGGTATTTTTTACCAGTTCCCTACAGGAAAAAGATTGTATATGAAACAGGAAGAAATGTAAAGGATTAGTTCAGAAAGTTACAACCCTGTATTTTAAATACTCTTCTGCATATAGAAATGTATATATACAACATAGTGAACTTAGATTTATAAACGTGCCTTATCTTTTTTGCCACCATGCTCTATGAATGTGGTTCCAAATGAGAACTTCTGAAGACCTCTCAAATGGTCAATGGGTATTTACAATTAAAAGTGCTGTTCAGTTGTGAGATATGTCGATATACGCTGATTTTACGTGATGAAATGTGTTTTAGTGATGATACGCCATGGTGTTTTATGCTTGAACATTTCATGCTGCTACATTTGAATACCTCTGAAAGTACAGCCTTAATTTGTGATAAGAAGTTACAGAAATATCTTACTGACTAAGATACTGAATTTGAATATAGAATTTGTGAACAGAGGAAAGGGGACTCAAAGATTAGTTAAAATTCATAATGCTAGATTATTGCAGAACATTAACAGTTACATTGTAATTGCACTGCAGATGTGTGAAAAACTTAGCCTTCTCCAGCCTTCTTTTGTGCATGAAGTTCTAAAATACTTGAAATTGTACAAGAAAGAGGTCTTTATTATATGTTGAATACAAGCAATTGTTAGTATTCTTTCTTTCCAGAGGCGAAACATCCCAGTAAAACCACTGGATGAAGCTAAGGTAAGTTATGCTGACATTCAGTCTGTTTGGGATTTTTTTAATTAGAAAAGGTGTTTGGGCATTTAAGGTAGAGAAAGTGATGTTCTCAGAGCTTCCAGCATTCAGGTTCTTGATTTTATTTAATGTGCATCTGTTCTGTATAGTAATGCAGAAAAAGATATTAAGTGGAGTACAGGAGAAAGAGGAGGCTGTTGGGCTGGCCCTGAAGAGGCTGTCCTGGTTAGTTCTAAAGTGTTTATGTGAGTGTATATGGTTGCCCTTAGAGAAGAGCTAGTCTTTTTTTTTCATAGAGGTTCTACTCAAACATCACAAAATGTGATAGTGTTCTGTGGTGGTCCGGGATCTCATTGTGGTAAACCAGTAGATTACACAAGCATTATTAGAAAACATTTTTGGGAAATACAAGCATAAGCTATGAAATGCTAAGATCTAAAATCCTCTTTTATTCTTTAGGTTCTGCCAGTTCTTATAAAAGAAGAACACAAGTTGCATAATACCTGTCTGGATTCTTCCAAACAGATTATGGTAAGATGGTTGGAGAGGAACAACAGAAGAAAAAAACCATACCCCCCCAAAAAAAAAAGTAGTATTGAGACATGCATTTTGTTTGAGAGCAAGGATGTGCATGGTCTGAAATAGAATATCAAAATTACAGTATCTAGAATAATGTTTCAGTACTGAAAATTAATTCTCTGACATCTAGGCTATTTTAGTTACTGGCTTTATTGTTCTGTATTCTCCAGTTTATTTCAGCATGTGTAATTAAATCCAAAGCAGAAAGATAACTTAGGAATCTGAAAAAGATACTTGATCTGCTGATGAATATTTAAGGTTCAACCTACTGTAAAATTGTAAAAAATCATTAGTATTGATTAGTTTTACCACATCCATTGAAAATGTCATAGAAAGCATGGGTAAATAACGCATATCTTTTATGCTTTCACAGCTACTAATCAAATCTTTCTTTAAGCAGTGCAGGTTTTATCTTTCAATTTATTTGTGACAGCAGAACTAACTCATTGCATTCCATGACAATTCACATAAAAATTATATGGATCACAATATAGCAACTAATAAAATTGTATAGTTTTGTAAGTATTCCTTATGTTTTGTGAAAAGTCACCTTTCTCTAGAAGGTGACTGGTTAAATTAATTCATGAAAGTGCGAAGTTTCATATTTCTAAAAAATAATACCTGTTTGTGTGTTTACCTGAGTGTCTTATTTCTCCTGGAATAGGCATCCTCAGAGACTTCTGTTTAGAATAGGTTTTGAAGCTTAGTGACTTTTACTTTAATTTCCAACTTTGTACTATTACATTAGCAGTGTGGCAACAGGTGTGGAAAGAAACAAAGCTGTTGTAGTGCAGGCTGTACGTCATTATGCAAGTGTATAGAAGAAATACTAGAGAGGCCAGTTCCAGCTGATCCTGTGTATAAGAAGGCCCACCATACTAAAAATATCAATAAATCCAGTGTTCATGCATGGAGAAGATGATAGAAAGGGGGATCTGGGAGTGGTTCATGATAGGAACACCTAGCAGGGTTCTTCTGTGAGACATGAAGGAGTTGAGTCTGTAATTGAGTTTCAACAGTTCTGGATATTAGGTAAAAGATACTTAGATTACTGTGCACATCCCTTGCTATTCATGTGACTGGTCTGTCCTGGAAGCATGTTTGAAGTGTCTGTGAATTTCAGGTTGGTCAGGATGGTTATGGATGCCCCATTCTGATGCACACTTTTAAGGGAATGGATTTGTGCATTTATCTTAAACAGTAGGGAGTTATTATGACAGCTTGTCATTATGGCTAGTCTTTCTATTTCTTGTGTTTTAATAGGTTGGAGAATCTGCTGGAGACAGTAACTCTTCTGACTTGGACTTTCTCTCTATGAAACCATATTCAGATGTATCTCTTGATATTTCTATGTTAAGTTCGTTAGGTAAGTAATTAAATATACAGGACATCAGTTGTGGTTTAGTTGTACCACAGACAAAATGACAGCTGGATTTGCTAAGATTAAAAAAGTGTTCAAAAAGTAGTATCAAGTCTACATTTGACATAAGTAAAATTCTAGGGCTGGTACAAGATAAATGAACCTTGCTCTGTTTTTCCTTTGAGACATCCATGTGCTATCCAAGCTAACTTTGCTTGTACAAGTGAAGAAATACAATTTTGATATCTTTACTTGTATTTTGTGTTCATAGTAACATAAACCTTAAGAATCAGCGTGGAGCTTTAGCTCATAAATGATGAGCTAAAATTACTTCATATGATGTCTTTCAAATAACCTGGGAATTAGGTAAGTATGTAAAGCACAGTCGTATCGCCACTTGGAATATCCCAAAACAAAAATCAGAAGAAACTTCAGGCACTGGAAAGACTATCTTCAGATAAGGCAGTTGTGTAAAAGTATTAGGATGCAGTTTCAAATGCATGCCTTTGATAGGTATCTTATAAATGCTACAAGAAGTACTGTTGCCATTTCTTCAGGCTGCTGAGCTGGTCAAATGCCTTAACAGATGACGTCCAAGCTAACAACCTGCTTATGTTTTAAGATGCTTTTAATTCAGAATGTGAAAGAGGCCAAACTATCTATTATAAAACATAATCAAGGTAATGAAAGACTTAAAGGAAAACAGGAGTTCTACAGATTTCATAGAAGCATAGAATTATAGAATCAAGCGAGTTGGAAAAGACCCCTGAGATCATCAAGTCCAACCCTTGATAGGCTCTGATTGTGCTGGCACACTCTAATTTTATTTAATTCAGTACAAAATGAATATCCATTTTATAGATAATGTTTAGACATATCAGTCTTACTGTGAATTTCTTGTGCCACTGAAAACTGCTTATGTTTTCTTCTTTGAACTAGAAGTAAATACTTCTAGATTAGTTGGCTTCCAGAGAGAGTTTATGTCATTACTTCTTATCATAATTCTTGAAAAGTTAGTAAGGATTGAATTGAAGAAAGCAAAGGGAAAGAGTTTATTTTCCTGTTTAAAGCTCAGTGAATATTTTTTAGGTCTTCAGATGAAGGAATAGCATATATTGGCACATATTTCGAGTTCTTTCCAATTTCAGTTTTATTTGGCTAATTATAAAATCACTATAGCTGGAGAAGATACTGTTCTTAAAACCTTCTGTGATAGAGATTTCTTTGCTTCCATAAATGACCTGTTCTATTATAACTATTTTAAGTTAGATATTTAAGTGATCTTTCTACTGACATCTCTTCTTTGCTGCAAACTAAATGTGTTATTTACAGTGAGGGTGGTGAGGCACTGGAACAGGTTGCCCAGCGAAGCTGTGGATGGCCCATCTCTGGAAGTATTCATGGTCAGGTTGGATGGAGCTCTGAGCAGCCTGGCTTAGTGAAAGGTGTCCCTGCCTGTGGCAGCAGGGTTTGGAACTAGATGATCTTTAAGGTCCTTTCCAAAGCAAACCATCCTATGATTTCATGTCTGGAGTTTAAAAGATAAGGAAGACAAATTCAGCTCTTACAGCTGTTTAATTAGAGGGAGTCAGTTCAGTTTCAGCCATTTACTGTGGCACTTTCCTTCATCTTCCAATATCATGCAGATCTGCAGCTGTTGCTTTTTAGAAGTGCGAAGGAAAATGCAAGATTGAGGTCATTTGTGTAATAGAAAACACTTGTGTTAATTTAGTTTAGAATTTTTTTATAAGACTTGGTAATTCATGAGTCAATGTACATATGCTAATTAAGGGTTTTGGTTGGTAACTGGTGGCTCTTAGGAAAAGTAAAGAAGGAGCTTGACCATGACGATAATCATTTACATCTGGATGAAACAACTAAGCTGCTGCAGGACCTTCATGAAGCTCAGGCTGACAGAGTGGGATCCCGGCCTTCATCCAATTTGAGTTCCCTCTCCAATACCTCTGAAAGAGACCAACATCATCTTGGTAAAGTTAGCTGTGTCACAGAAGTTGCAGTGCTCGTGTTCTAGTTGAAATTGGTTTAAACTTACATTTTAATTTACAGAACCTTTGGGAGAAACTACGCTGATAAAACAGTGTACTGACTGCAGGATCATGTTTTAATTTTTAAATATATATGGCAAAGACAACTAAGAAGACATACGTTCGACCTCTGGAATTAAGGGCACTAATTGTAGTTACTTATTTTTTGAGTAGGTGTGATTGAAGTAATTGTGAAGTAAATTGATACTGACTGGCAAATCCCTATAAGGACTTGCATAAAATGGCTTTAGAAATACTAAGGAGTATGTAATGTTTATTTTGCGTCAGCATAGTTGTATGCACAAAGTAGCAAGTGGGATTCTTCAACAGCATTCCATTTTCAACTGTAAAAATCAGTGATAAACTGCTTAACAATTCGGTGCCGTTCTGAGAAGGTAGGAGATGTTGGTTGGATGATACCCAGTTGCATTTTGTATAATTTTTCAACTCAGACTACTTTTCCAAAGATTAGCTAAATTTCTAAGAATCTTGTAGTTTCCTTTTCATGATCTCCTATTTATTTAAATATAATTTCAAAGTATAAACTGAACATACGGAATAACCATGCTGTTCATATACATAACTATCTCTTCATTAAATTTCTGTACTTCTAAAGGTTTTGATTTTTTCCCCCTGTGTTCTACAGGAAGCCCCTCTCATCTGAGTGTTGGAGAACAGCAAGACATGGTTCATGATCCCTATGAATTTCTTCAGTCTCCAGAAACCTCAAATGCCACTAGTAACTAATCTGACATGTACTATATATATTTTGTATTTTAATTGTATTATGTTTTTATAAAGTTTTTGTCCATGACAGAAACCTCAATTTTGTCCTCTTTTGTATGAGGATTCCTGTATAATATTAATGTATATGCAGGATTAAACAAGCAAACAAACAAAAAAATAAAAGAAAAATCTACTTAGTGCATTGTGTTTTTAGCAATGTACCAAGAACTGCTTTCAATTTGTGCATTAAGGGAGGTTGTTGGCTACTGGTGTGTGAGTCTTGACTGAAAAACAACAAATAATGTGTTAGAAAAATTTGTATTTTATAGAAATTAAAAAGTTATAATTTTCCCAGAATCATAGCAACAGTCATTAAATGTTTCTGCTATATTTATCTACTAGTTCTGTTGAGATCTTAATCTGAACATATCCAAGGAGAAACAAAGAACTATTTGAATTGGGATCATTGTTTTTTCCCACCTCCTAATGCTAATAATATGCAGAAGATACTTAATTTGAGAGTAACCAGTACTTGGTAGTTGCAGTAAAATGCTCACTACAAGACTTCTACCCTGGATTTGAAAAAGATGGGTGTTTTTGTGATCCCTTGTATCTTGAAACACCAAGAAAATACAATACTTGTATTTTTTAATATGACACGTAGAATGGGAAAAATATTGAATAAGGTGTGCTTTTCAGTAATTTCAAAATAAAACTTTTATAATACACTAGGATAATACATCAGTAGCGAAACTGAGGGCTTTTGTACTATTGCTATGTGCAAGCAGACAAATGTTATAAATTTACCATATTTTGTAAATATTAATAAAAATAGAAAAGCAGTTTTGATGTTTGCAAATATCTTGTTCTTTCCAGGAGAAAATTTGCTTCCTTTACTAAGTCTGAAATAGTAGGAGTTTTGGGTCTGAATTTATATGCTACTTCAAAGATAAATGTCACCATGCCACATGTAGCTATAAACAAAAAAGAAAAACACCTGTGAATGTTTAGGTACCATCAAGGAAGTCTGTCAGATAACTGATGGCAAAGCTTTGATAAAGTCTAAATAGGGAGATTTTGTTCATTCAAAGCAGATATGCTGAAGAAAGCATACAGCTTGGTTTTTCTGTTGGGAGTTGTCAGGAATGTGTGTGGCAATGTGGGTCTCTCTGCTGCTCTTGCATTCTGATTTATCATGGCCAGGGGTTCTTGGAAGTAACACGTATGATCTGCTGCACTGTGACAGTGTTGACTGTTGGAAAGTGTTTGCATGGACACACAGCCTTGTTTCGCTCTGTAGCTCCCTAAAATAATTTTAATTGAAAAGTGTCTTTATAACTAATATGGTCTTGATCTCTAATAGGTCTAATTTCTCATACAGTAAATATAAATTGATTCCTGTAATATACTCTAAGTGATAGTTGCAGTTGGTGAGGAAATCTTTATTGAAACACTTGCTGTTGAATTGCCTGCCTGAGCTCTTGAATAAAATTCCACAGTAGAATGTTCAAAATGCTCCTCTAGAGTAGTATGCTGGTTTGTTTTGGTTTTTGTTTAAACTCCAGTGTTTACTAATGAAGTCTGAAGTAACATGCAGTATCTTACTTGGTATCTTCATCTTGGATTTCAGACAGAATGCATTCAAGCTTTCTGAAACTCTGTAAAACAGCCTTTATGGGCTCCATGAGTTAGTTGTATAAAAGGCTGTATGTTGTTTGTATCACTACCTTACCAGAAAGCACTTTCTGCTTGGGGATGGTTTGCTTATTTATTTAGCCTGTCTGACCCTTAAGCAATGTCACTTATGCACAACACTAAGCACTCCAGTTGCAGTTCTACAGGTGCTGGACAATCCTCTCAATAGGCCTACTGCCTATATTCCCCAGGACAAAAATGCTTTTAGGGCAAAACCTCTTCCCAGAGGCAAATATAAATGTTTTTGCTGTGGTGTCTTCCCAAAAATGGCAGACATTGATTTGTAACCTGTTTGCTGAATGTACTGATACACATGACTGGGCTCACTAAATGCCTCAAGAAAAGCTTTTGTTTTTCTTCCAGAAATCTCGTTCTCATATATTTTATGGGAAGATTGGACTCTTGAGTTTGCAGCCTCTGGTAAAACTTTAAAACTTTAGCATTTTTTTTTAAGTGGTTGAAGTAACTTCTTTCAGTCACTTGTTTGTAATAGTGCATTTTTACTGATTCTCAAGCTGAAAGAAAATCTCTTTCTCCTTTTCACTGTTTGTGTGTGTGCCTCTGCTTGTACCAGGATAATGCTGCTGCTTTTTCAAAATTATTCTGTTTTATTTCAAAAAAAGCCTTAGGATGCAATGTTGCCAGTCCTTCTCCTACTTATTTGAAAGGGGAAAAAATTCCTAAGCTGTGTCTCATTTGCTCTTGTCTATGCAGGCTGTAAGTTCTTGCTAAAATGCATTGAAAAGCTTGGAAATAACCAGTTAAGGCCTGTAATCTTATGGTCCTAGCTAAACATTATGAATTTGAAAAGCTTTACTTCTGTAGGTTTATTTAACACATGTCATTGTTTATTTAATTCCATATACACTAGAAGGGGATGGTGTTTATCTGGTAGGTATTTCCTGTTTAGCTCGTTTGGAAGAGGACTGCGTGTCTATGGCAACACATATAAATCCGTAATACATAACATCTTCTAGCTAGGTGGCACCATATGTCAACACACTTTATGTGAGTTCCCATCAGTTTGAATATTTCTGATGCTGCCATTGAAATAGAGGTGAGTTTCCCAGGGTGTTTCTATAAAAAATTGAGAAAACAAATTGCATTTGTTCTAAATGCATTGAAAGATTTCAAGGAAACACTGAAGATTCATTTGCAATTTATTTTTTTCCTCTAATACTGCTGTATCAAAGCCTGTGTTGCATGAAGGATGTAAGCAATGGTAAGAGAAATCTCTTTACTTGTGTTCTTCCACAGGATAGGAATACATCAATGAAAATGGAGAAAGGTCTAAATAACTGTGAATAATTTTTTACTTTTTTGAATATCTCTCATCAATCTCATGTTTTAGCACAGCCATTTCAGTGGCAGCAAAGGGAATGTTGAGACTGTACTGCACACATTTCAAACATATTTGTAAACAAGGATTCAGCATGAAACAACTTTCTTCCACGGTCTGTTTTGAGATACACAAGTATAGGGACAAAATTTACATGAAAATATTAGAGAAAAAAATAATAGTAAATCTTCCTGATGTGTCTCCCTTGCTCTTTATTAAAAAGGAAAGAAAAAGCACTGGGGTATTTTTGCCATCATGTAGTTCTTCTGCTTTCTGGCGGATGAATTGCTATGATGAGAGATTAATGCAGATGAGACCTGAACAGCTGACCAACAGAAATAACCTGATGTCTCCACCCCTACATTCCATAGTGAATGGCTTGTCCTCACCATGCCACTCCTTTTTGTATTTGTTGCTTTACAGCTTTTTATCTACCTGGCTACCACGGGATTAGGAGTCTACACACCATTACTGCCACATGGATGGAAACAAGCAGTTTTTTCTGGTTTGTTTTTCTTTTCTAACCTTCTACCACCCTTCTTGAATTATGTTTTACTATAAAGGCTGATTTGTGTCCAATTAAGGGGAGGGGACAAAAACCACCCACCTCCCTAATTATGCTACTGGTGGGGTATTTCCAAAGGAAATAGGGCATTTCCAAAGGAATGACATTTATTCCTAGTGAGTTGAAACCCCCAGTTGAATGTTGCAGAACTCAGCTGAAGTAGATTATTTGGATCTGTGTTGTTTCCCATCTTGCAGCAGGGCATGTGTGTTTGTAACTCGGTATTCGTAAATATTATAGTTAATTAGGTTTTGAAAGATCCTTTAACTTAGGTGGTGACTGGAAGAAAAGGGGCAGGGTGCAGGAGATGAAGAAGAGCCACAGTTGTTTGGAAGCAGGAGGCAATTCACAGTTGAATGATTTCTCCTAGACTGATCAAAAATTACTATAAATCACAGAAAATATCCTCCTGCAGAGAAATGTTGGTATGTCTTTGAACTAGGAAAACAGACTATTTTTTTTTGGTCTTTTTTAAATCTCAAGTCCTTCATATACTGATAAAATAACATGCTATAGGAAGCAAGTACATCTTTACATGAATTTGAGAGTATTCTTCACTGTGCCCACCTCCACCATATGTACTCTATAGCCCAGCTCACAGTGCAGGGAAGAAACGAATTCCAAGCAGCTCTTGTCCCATCAAGATGACTGGAGGTGAGGAGTTGTCCTCAGCAAAAATCTGCAAGGAGGCAGGGCAGAATGATGTTGCTCTTCCACATACTGGATAAAGGAAACACACAAAACCAAACTCCGTGGAATCTCCTGGACTACCCATGGTCCAGGTCTCTCTACTCATAAATGTTGGTGTATCCTACAGTGTTACCATAAATGTTGGGGTATCCTGCAGTGCTACCATGAACTGGTTACTCTGGGCTGCCATTATGTGCTTGGAGTGCACTCGGTGCTGCTTTGCAGAAGTAATGTGTGACAGTGCAGGTGTGCTGCCATTGTCACTGGGGATTAATTAGTGGGAATAGAAGAATGAATGAAATATTATTTCTGCTTAGTACTTTGACTCATGAAGGGTTTGAACAGATGCTGTTTTTGCAAGGAAAGACCCCTCAGAAGCAGCCCTGTGAAAAGCAGAAAGCCCTTCGCTGTATTTGCTTATAGCGCTCTCAGTCCATCATTGCAGGATTGAAAACTGGTGAGTCTGTGGAATTATGAACTAACACAAACTTTGTTTTTAGAAGGGTCAGCTTGGATAAGTTGAAACACCTTGTTTTTTGTTAGGTTTGCTTGTTCTTTGTCAATTCAGTATATTGCAGAGCACAGTCTGGAATTCTACATTATATCCAAACAAGGCTCTTTTACATAGGAGAGGGAGAAAGTTTAGCAGCATAACGAGAAAGAAAACACTGATACACAGTATTTCATTCACTTTTTTATGTACAAAACATAGATTGTTGCTAGGAAATGGTAGGGTGTCAATGGAACACTCTCATGACAGCACTGTAATTCTTGTTGAAACAGAGGTTGAGTAGTTAGCATAGCTGTAGGTCTAATTACCAAGTTTTTGCGATCTGTTTAAGAAAACAGACTATTAATTGTGCTTCTTCTTCTACTTTGTTTGAAAATGAAAGACAGCTTTAACACACAGGGAAAAAACACAGTTCTGATAAACATCATGTCTTTATAGGTGAGTAATTAACAGCCTTGCTGAAGCTCTGATGTGCCTGCAGTCCTGTTTTTTCAATTATGTGCATCCTCTGTATTATCAGCTGAGGACTTGCACTTTAACTATGTTGTATCCCATGACCATTTACAATGCAGGAGAGATCTAGGAAAGGAAGACAGACCTGTAAACCCTTTTCTTGCTCAGGAATTCTTGAAAGAGACGACAGATGAGGTTGTCCATTCAGAGGACTTCCCATTTATCTCTCTATGGAGAAGGAGATAGGTCTAAGCTGTGAAGACTTGAAGAATCATACTAGCTCTCATGAAGTCTGATTTTGATGCCATTTTAAAAATATAGTTGGTACATACCAAAGCTGGTATCTTGAATGTAGTAAGAGTTTTTTATTCTAACATTAGCAAAACTATAAAAGAAAAGGAAGCCAAACCAGACATTTCTCACCTATTTGCCAAAGTGTTTCTATGTTCTAACTGACACAGGATTTAAATACAAGAAATATTTATACTTTTTTTTCCTTAAGTTTCTACCTCTTAACAAGTATTTGAAGAGGGAAAATCCTGAAACTGTATCTTTGCATTGGTCTTTTCTGAATTAGATTTCACCAGCTTAGCTGCTCTTCTGTTTTGGATGAAGAATAACTTTGCCTAAACATCATAGGAAATAATTCCATTTGGGCACACAATGAGACTTCCTGGACTGGTGAAGAAAACACACCTTCCCATTGTCCTTGTGTTGTGTCAGTGAGCAGTCATTCTCTTCAAAATATTGGTAATTGCTGTCATGGTAACAAAACAAAAACATGGTGTGGCAACTATTTTCAGTGTTGCACATGTGATACCTCTTCTGGCTGTAAAACACTTCGGTTTTCATCCAGGGCAAGAGGTGTCCTCTAGTTCAAGCCTAGCATGGATTGTTTTTTCTGAACAATGATCTAGGTGTGTGTGGGGAGTTGTAGTGCTTTGTTTTGTTGGGCTTCTCTCAGGCAGATGGGCAGCAGGTTTGGAGGTGGGAGGGGAATGACAGGCCAACCAGTGTAGAGTGATCAACTTGTTCCTAGTAGCTATTTGCCCTGCTCCTGAACACCTCTGCAACTAACTGGGGTGGGATTGGCACTGAAATCATGGGGGCTCTGGCAATAACCAGTCTTTGTGTTCTTTAGCACAGGAAAAACTAAGCAACAAACTACTACAGGAGCTTCACAGAATTTAAAAATAATAACAGTAGCACTCCTGGAGCCATGCAAATCTTCAAGTACATTCTTTTTTAATGTCTTTGATC